GATACCAGTAGGGTAGGGGGAAGTTAGGGAGAAGAGTGGGGAAGAAATTGCGGGGGAAGGGAGACAGCGGCCGGTGTAAGATATAAAAGCAATAATTTATAATTTATCAAGGGGTTATGAGGGTGGGAGGGGAGGTGGGAAGGTAAAAAAAGGAGCTGATACAAAGGGCTCAACTAGAATGTAATTATTTAGAAAATAATGATGGCAACATATGTACAAATATGCTTGATACATTGACGTATGGATTGTTGTTATAAGAGCTGTAAGAGCCCCCAATAAAATGATCTTAAAAAATGATCTTAAAAAAAAAAAAAGAAAAGTCTGAGTTTCTGCCTTCATTTGCACACAGGCACGTGGGTATCAGCACGCTGGTACCTGAGGCCTGCCTTGACCACAGTGTCACATTGGTTCTACGATGGTGGTGGGAGAAGAGATGTTACTGGTAACACACACATCAGGCACAGGCTTGATAGAATTATCCCACTGGAAAGCCTGTGATCTCCTCAAAGAACCAGCTGAATCTTAGTAGGTCTTTGTTTTGAAATACTATGTTTTATTAATTAAAATTTACAACATAAAAATAGTCATTGCATTTGCTTTTGTGAAGATTTGTAAGGAACCTTCAGCAAGAATAACAGCATTTCTTTCTACCTCTGTCTGTTGTTGCTATGGCTTATCAAGACAATTTCCTTTGCAAAATTTTATTCCTAATAAGAGTTTTCCGTCTGGCTAATTATAATAATAACAATATAATAATTATAATCTTCCTTTTAGCTTTTATCCCCTAACCCCTACATTGAAAATATTGAAACCCAGCTGCATTTAAATGCTAAGTCTGCTGTCCTATAAAATTAGTAAACTAAATTTCTCTCTTCTATAATGCTCATCGTGGCAGGAGAGAAAACATTTCACACCCATAACACTATTCTGTCTACTTGAAACTCTTCTCTAACTAAGACCCTAAAGAGACTGTCATCCAAGAATAGAGATGCCGATTATCTAGGGATGATACTACTCATAGTGCTACTTGTATTCCAAAGTATGCACTTTTGTGAACCCGACTCATTTAACGTACAGTGTGAGTCCCGACTCATTTAACGTACAGTGTGACTCCTGACTCACTTAATGTACAGTGTGAATCCTGACTCACTTAACGTACAGTGTGAATCCTGACTCATTTAATGTACAGTGTGAGTCCTGACTCATTTAACGTACAGTGTGAATCCAGAAAGTTTAGATTCCTGTGTATACTTTACCTAAGACGGACATTAATAATCATCATCAATAACATAATTATGTATACGCATATACTCCCGTCTCTTAATAAAACGCAATCTAGTAACCTGACAGGAGTTAATACCAAAACCTTATTTTCAGAAAATACCTTAGACCTAAGTGCACATGTACATTATGAAAGCAAAGAGGTTATGTATTTGAATTTAAATCATGTGTGCGCAAATTGAGACTCTAATAAACAATCTCATTTACTGAGTGGGCTTGTATAGCCAACATGAGCTCAGAGGGCCAAGAACAATTTGTTATCATACTGTAAGCATCTTTGGGAGTTAATTATGAGGAAGGCTCAGCAGGTTATTAAGGAAAAGGAATACTCGGCAAAGGATAATTTGAGCCTATTTTCTCATCAGCCTGAAGTCTATTTTCTCTAGCAACTTGAGTTAATATCAAGGATGAACAGCTGAGGGTAATCTTAAAACACGCTGAAATCAAATGATCAGTTCAACATTTTAAATGGAGAGTGGGGGGAGGATGTCAAGAGAGAAACTTAATTTGAAAAAATGTGGAGATCTTGCTCTTTACTTTCCATAGAGGTCAACTTCACTTAAAAGAAACACACACACTTGGCGACAACAATATGCTCTCTCCTCCACTTATTGATATGTTGAAATATCAATTCCTGTGGGGCATCACTAACTAACACAGATCCAGTATGAAATAAATAATTTAAGTTATCCCTAGACTTGGTGTTTACCACAGACAAGCATGTTAAGAAAGAAAATCTCAATCAATTTGTGTTTTCCTTAATTCTTTTATAGCATGTATTTACTAGTATTAGAATAAAGATTAGAAAGATAAAACCTGCCTTGTAAAAAACTATTCTTAGTAAAGGAAAAATGTGTGCGATTGAGAACAAATGCCGCAGCTGCAGAATGTTTTCCTCAGAGTAGCTTAAAAAAATATGGGAGGGGGCCACATCCTAATGAAATAAAGGCATCAGGTGAGTGGAGAAATAATTCGTATCTGATAAACAACTCAGAACAAAGCTTCAGTCATGGCGTGATGAGGCAGGTAAGGCTGACAGACTTACTCTGAAGCTGAGGCTGCTGGAAGGAAAGGGGCTGTCCGAACACAAATGGGCTGTGGACTAGGGAAGAGGGAGGCTTTGCAGCTTGATCAAAGGTGGAAGGAGCTGGGAGATTGGGCCGTGACTGAATGGAACTCAATATGGCACTCAGCTGGTCACCTGCAGTGAGCAAAACAGTCAAAACTACAACTTGTTATTAATTAACATCCCAAATGGCAAAGTGCTTTATAACATTCAGATAGTGTTAAATATTTAATAAAGCTATGCCAATTCAGAAATGTGTGGAAGTTGGTGATCTTTTCTTCCTCAAATTTTACGTATGTTTTCTTTTTTAATGGAAGCATCCCATCCAATCTTGTATAAACAGTCCACCTACAAAACCAGATACATCTAAATTCATGAGACAAAAAGGAGCAGCATGGAAGGAAGAATTAAGAGTCTATGAAGTATCTCTAAGTTCATTCAATACCACATATGTATGAATGATGAGCTAAGTCAATGAACCCAACACTGACTACTACCAGTCCTCCTCACATGCAGTACATTTCATGCAGAAATGAAGCACTTAATACTCTACTCTAAAATGAAGCATTGAAAGAGGAAAACTTTTAAGAATTTGTATATTTAATCTATAACAAAAAAGTAATACATTTTTTCTACTGAGCCTACCAAAGAAACGTATAGTTATCACTTTTAAAAGTAATGATTTGTTTTTTGTCTTAGAAGATAATATAAAGATCTGCTAAGACCTGTATGATAAAAAGGGAGTTCCTAATTTTAATGGTTTTGCTTCAACTCGAAATAGATTATTTTTCCTTATAATTAAACACCAGGGACTTTATAGAAAGGTGTTTAGTAAAGATATGAAATAAGTAGATGGGTGGCAACTCCTCTATTTTATAATCATACATACATTTATAGTTTAGGTAACATTAGAGAAACGGAAAAATGAAAACACATCCAGACTAGCTGAAGAAACTAGAAAACCAGTAGCTTTTCCGCCATTATCCCCAAATTACAATAGTTTACGGAGTGAAAATTTCAACAGAAGCGCCAACAAGGGTAGACTTACACGGAAAGAGCCATTTATACAAGATGTCTCTACTTTTAAAAAAAAATGACACTGTAGATTATAGAAAGGATTTTGAAGACTTTTTAAAGAAAATGAGAATTGATATTCAAGGTAAATAAATAAAGATTAAATATAGTTAATTGAGTTACATATGTATTTTAATATGCTTTGCCTCATCTAAATGTTTTACAGGCCTAATCACAAATACATGCTACTTTGAAATACTATTTGAAAAAGAAAATTCATTATTTTTATTTAATAATTCAATTTATTTGATAATTTATTTAAAACCTCAATATTTTTATTTAATGGCAAACATTCTCAGAAATGTTTTGTGTTTCTCGCAAGTTGATTTCTAGTCCTCCAATGATTTACAATGATAGTACTCCAGTATCATGGGTTAAGGCATAACACAGAGATTTTAATTCAAGTAAGGACAATGAGAATGCGAAAGAGATATAAAGGAAAAAATTCATCATCACAATTCATCCTAGAGAAATATTAAATCTAGCTTAAGTTTACAGAAATCACAGCTACTACAAATGAACAAGCTGACAGAAAACAGGCCTACAGAATATATCCATTCGAGAGGAAGGAAACCAAAAGGAACAGGTCTTGTTGCTAGGCTCTCCTCAAAGTATTTTGTGGACAGTAGTGAAAGTACTCACAGAGAGGAGTCTTACTTTAAAGTGAATATTGCTTTGCCAATTTGTATGCCTTTGATTTTTGTTATGTTGTCTAATAGCTCCAGTTTTCGAGTACAATATTAAATCAGAGTGGTGATAAAGTACTAAATTGGATATTTTTTAATACACTAATGTAATTTGTATTTCATGGACTAGTTCCATCACTTGCTATTCAACTTAGGCATACTATATTTACTGCTTGAAATCAAGTCCTGTGAATTAGTATAAGCAAAACTTTAAAATTACTCCCACATAGGCGATCTTCTTCCTTCTGTCCATCATCAAAGAGCGTACATTATATGCTGACAGGGTGAGTGGCTTTGCAGGCGTTAGTGCCATATGCGTAGGAAAGAACACGAGCAAGTCAATCTACACACAAGCGCAATCTTGAATGCATCTCATTATCAGTTATTTAGGAATAAAACAACTGCTGTGTGGGCTGTTCCTGATGCGGGTTTCTCTACAACGAAGTTAACAGGAGCCGCAACATTTTATATTCACGCAGCTTAGCTGACTTTTCCTTTTATAGCTCTCTGGTTTCATAGCCACATGCACTAAGCCGTCTTGGTTCATACATATTTAGTGAGGATGACGTGTAACAGTACATAAACATATTACTTCAAAGTATATTCTGATTTTAAATGGCTCGTTTGGATTACTTTTCAGGTGTGTCTACACAAATGAGGGCCTCTAAAGGAGGGGGTGGGAGGAAGCCTAGGAATTTCTATAAACTTAAGCTAAAATTGGCAAGAAAGTAATATTGTAAAAAGGCTAGCTTTATTTCCATGTTAAGTGTTAATTGCCTATAAACAACCTTTAGCAGAACTTCGTGGGTGAAAAGACATAAAAATGGGCAGAAGAGAAAGGTTAGAAAATATATTCAAGTATATTAAGTAAGAGACTCACTTTGAACACCTACCTTTATTATTTCCAAGACCATAATCAAATCCTTGGGCACTGCAACTTGCTCCCTTGTTAAAAGCTTGTACCGAGAAAGGACTTGGTGGAGGGGTTTGCGAATTCTGATCCAGAAGAACTTGCTCTACAATAAAAGGCACAGCTATAAAATTAGTTTCTTACATGCGACTCCCCATTTAACAAAAAGTGAAGCATTGTAAAAATATTTTCTGATAGACTTTAAAATGACATTTAGATCAATTGACAAAATGAAAACCAATTGACAAAATGAAATATCTTCTTTTTTGTTATTTATCAAATACACAAGGTAATTTTGAAAAAGGTAATGCTTTTATGGAATACGTTTTCATTGTGGCAAGATGCAACACTGACCTCACTTCTTAATGGACATTCCTTTTATTTGCAACATATATATAGCAATATCATATTAAAAAACAGTGGCTACCCTAGTAAATCAGATACAAAAATATTTTTCATAGTAGTATTCAAATGGAAAAAAATTCCTACAAATGTCTTAAGTATTTGTCATCAAAATAAATGTCCACTTATAAGATACTTTTAGTGCATTTGAAGATTATGGGATAAAGTATTTTTATTTATAAGGATATTTTCCTCTAAAAAAAAAGGGCAAGATGCCAGGTCATGTAATCAGAGTATATTATCCTGAAGTCAAGAAATGTGTCATTAAGAAGCAAATGGCGAATATTTTATCCAATTTACAAATGGTAAATTGCAACATAGGAAACAAGTAACAAGTTATTTCCTATTACAAGACACATGGCTTTAAGATTTCAGTTCACATCATCTTAAACATACAAATTTCATACACCTACTCCTCACTTATCAACTATCTCATTATCCAATACTTCGTTAACATTTTTGACAATAGTAAAAAGTTGCCATTTGATTATTTTGTGCATTCAAAAAGCGTATCTGGCAGTAACCAATACCGAGGTGGGAGGAGAGAGTAACACTCACGGTGAGAGATGACTCACTCAAACTCTCACTACCCTAGAGTTGACTGTGATTCATAGCAACCCTATCGGACACAGCAGAACTGCCCCTGTGGGTTTCCCATGCTAAATCTCTACTGGAAAAAGAAAACCATCTTTTTTCGAAGGAGCAGCTAGTGGCTTTGAACTACTGATCTATTGGTTAGCAGCCTAAAGCATACATAACCCACTTACACTACCAGGGCTTCTTTAGAATGAAGAGGCGGACAAAAAGGAAAATTTTTAATTAAATTCATGTCACTGTTTTAAAAAGTAAAATAAAGTTTACAATTAAAGTCTAACATAAAAAATAGGAAATTTTGGAAAGATATTATGCCTCTGTTCAATGCTCCTTCTCTGAGACAAAATTAATTAGAAGACATTGGTGACTTGCAAAATGAATGTTCATTCTGTGGTAAAATGGATAAAAATTTCAATTGTAGACTGGCACAGAATCAGCCACATAAAATTAAATTCATGATTTTAGAAAAAAATGGATTCAAATGGTTCATGTTTCCTTTAATTTGTTGCTTTCATGCCTTTTCAATTAATATCCTAGCATTTTACACATCAATTTTAAAGTTGCATAAAATTTTAAACCTTAGTTTGGATTTTATTTTTAATGTTCAGCACATACAAAAAGTTCCTCAACATGAGAGAGATACAATGCATTAATTTCAACATGTCAAAGGTTAATGAGAATAAATCACAAATTTAAGCCAACTTGCCATCTTCATGCCGGAGGTACTGGTTGCCGCCTCTGTCTCTAGCTAAGGACCAGGCCTCTCCTTCATCACTCTCACAGAACTCTACCATGCTGTTCTTATCCAGCTGCACCCACGTACCTTCTGAATTGGTCACCTGGTACATGACAAAAAGCACGATTGAGTGGCTTTACGCTTTCAGAGCACCTGGACTGAAAACCATATACAGTTAAAGCATTCGATTCGTGTAAGCATCTCAATACATTTCTGCCATGAAATTGGCCTCTGGAATAAAGACTGTAGCCTGAGAGGTAAGAGAAATCAATGGCAAGTTCTCCAAAACGCTGTTTACTTATGATTTTGGCAAAATAGTAAAATTTTTAAAAACACAAAGATAATCCTTAAGCATTTTTAGCCGTTACCAAGAAACATAAAACTCATTATTTCTTTTTTTTCCTCCTGAGATGTCCCAACACAGTATGCGCCTATTATTTAGATGGATGGTACTGATGTTAGTGCAACTTGAACGTGACCCTGGCCCTGAGAAATAGCATGACACACTACATCTTCAAGCTCATTGGCTGAGGCAAATGCCACAGTGGAACTTTTCTTTGCTCAGGGCTTCAGTGAGATACACGAACGGGAACAAAGCAGTGAACTCTTTGTCATGGGGTCTCATTTTCATACCGGTTCATGTCCACTATTTTAAAATGCTGATAATCCATGACAGTATAGTACAACATTTGCCACATAACTGAAAAGAAAATAATGCAAAACCCGAACAATTATGCACAGCAATACAAAATCATTTTGTTAACAGAGAGATTATTTCCACAAGGATAATTGTGAAAACAAAATTATTTAGAAAAGACGCACATAAAAATTGCAATTAGGTTTTTGAATCCAAGATCAAGAACATTAAATGCATGTCCAACACCAGGGATGGTTCTCCATCCTGGGATGGAAAGGGCAACCCTCTGAGGAAAGATCCATTGGGTAGAGCACAGTAATAATGAATGGCTTAGAAGACATGAAGCTATGAGCATCCATACCTCTCCCACTGCTTTGACTTTGTTTCCCAGAACTAACATTCCAATTGGGATACCTCTAAGGTTGGGGCAGCTTCTGATGTTGTGACCTGAAGGTCCGGTCTTCACTACCTTGTACATGCCGGGCCCTCCGTGCAAGAATGGCATCTCCTGCTCTTGCATGGCTGCTTCCTGTGAGCAGCAGGAGTTCGTGTCTTTGAAAAAGTCGTCGGAATTAGTTTTAGGTTCCTGAAAATGTGAATAGGAAAAGAAAGAGAAGACAATTTTATTGTCAACTTCAAAATCTTGTTAGTCGTTCCTATATAGCAAGTCTATAGTACTGTAAGGGAAGAAAGCAAATAACGATCTAGAGAGAACTTGGCATTTCTCTCTATCGTTATTGGAAAAAAAAAATCTTTCTTTGCTCTCTATTTTTAAGTTGCAGAGTTGGAAACGCAAGAACCCCTGATATTTTTGTCAGCACCATCTGAGAAAGAACAATAACCCCCGATATTACTTCTATCTTTTAAGGCAATAATTAACAGTACAAGAAATAAAAATAAATCACTACGTTAAAGACGAATGATTTGAATCAGCATTTTTACTATATCGTCAAATGCTGGCATGAGTGAAAAAGAGGAAACGCTTCATTGCCTCCCACTTTTGTCTGTAGTAGTCATTAGCAAATAGAAAAAATATACTTGAAGAGTCTGGGGACTTTTCATGGATAGCTATGATGAAAAATACATGACACACAGCTACACCTTAATGATTACTATTAATGAAAGAAATAAAATTGCTTGTAAGATTTTTTTAACATCACACTCTACTGTAGAGCAAATGCACATGCCTGGCTAGGTTTGCCAGATCATTACTGCACAATTACAAGCTACTGTTCTTAAGGGAAGACAACAGCAACTATGCTTTCATTAGAGAGGGGAGAGATCAACATTAAAGATGAATTCTGAAGTAAAGTGCATTTAAATATAAAAGAGTAGTGTCTAAAATGGAAGAAAATAGCTAGCCCGATATCTAGGCTGAGTCTGATTGCTGTGATGAAATTGTTTCCTATAAGAATGTGACAAAAAAGAAGAGATAACCTACTACCTGTACTCTTTCCATGGCCCCAAATACAGGTAAACAAACACTGGGGTGTCTTTCCAGCACCCCTGTTATTTATACAAAAAAACTCTTGGACTCTTGGAGACCTGGTAGGACCATCAGGTAAGCACTGTATTGCCAAAGGCAAAGTTCAAATCAACTAGCCACTCTGTAGGAGAAATAAGCTTCTATCTGCTTTACTAAAGATTTGGTCTTGGAAACTATATAGGCTACTCTATGAAAGTGTTTTTGTATGTTTGTTTTTAAATACAATAGTTTGAAATTTGGGTGGCACGCAACATATTACTTCAGATTCAAACAGAGCAAAACATGACCATGCTTGAGCACTTACTTGAACATGAAATTCAAATGCATAATATTTAAAGAGAGTAAAGGAGACTCGTAGCATAGTGGTTATGCGTTGGGCTGCTAACCTCAAGTTCAGCAGTTCCAAACCACCAGCTGCTTTGTGGGGAAAAAATGAGGTCTTCTACTCCGGTAAAGAATTATTAGTCTCAGAAACTCACAGGGCAGTTCTGCCCTGTCCTATAGGGTTGGGATGAGTCAGAATCGACATGATGGCAGTGAGTTTTAAGTCTCATACTAAAATGTAAGTATTTATGGTTCATACAAGCAGTCAAAAAAGAAAAATCTCGTTATTAAATAGTATGTAGAGCCAAGGAATCTGTGCACCTAATATGTTGTCAATTCAATATATGGTTGGTCAAGGCAAAATTTTAACCTCCTATTAGCTACACACATGTGGTGATGAATATCCGTTAGTTTTTATTACTAAGATATATTATGGGCAATACTCAATTTAAATGTACTGCAAATATCACATAGTATTTACCCAACATGTTTTATCTCTGGCTGTGAAATTTAATGAAAATGTTGAAATACTTGAAAAATTTAGAGTAGATTCAGAATCAGAAATAAATCTTAAAGTTACTATACATAGTATTCCACACTCATAATATTTTTAGTAAAATCCTTTAACATGTTTTTGTGAATGATCAATTTTAGTAAATATATCATGTTATTATTTTATAGTTGAGGAGCCCTGGAGGAGCTGCTGGGCAAGCATTAGACTACTGACCAAAAGGTCAGCAGTTCAAGTCCACCAGCGGCTCTGAAGGAGAAAGTTGAGGCTGCCTGTTCTTGCAAAAATTTTTAGCCTTGGATGCCCTTTACAGAGGTGCTTTGAGTCAGAGTAGGCTTGATGGCAGCTGAGTTTCATTTCACAGGAGTAAGTAAAATGTTTTGCTCCTATTTACTACTGTTTTTTTCCCCCCAATTAATTACATGGTATGATATGTCAAAATAACAAGTATATTTTCATGCATTTATAACAAGAAACTCAATTTCTTGGTCATGAATTAATGTCCCTTCAACATTTCATTTGTTATCAGAGGAATTCCCACTTTTAATCACTTGGGGTAACATTAGGTGACAAACCTTCAGGTAAAACTAATACTATCTGTAAACTATCCACTGAAAGGTAGTGTAAAGCTTTTATTATAGTAGTTAACATTTTATTGGACAGTTAATAAACAATAAATTAATAAATATGATATTTACCTGATTTTTAATACAGTAAAGTATAAGAAATCAGGGATAGGTAGAATTTACTACAACTGTGCCTGTCCCTCTCAAGCAGTCTTAAGATACATGCTTCAGTTGATACGGAAGTGTCAGGCTTGACCATCAGTATCTGAAATGGACTCCTTTCAATATGACTCCCTCCTCCCTCCATTCCCGCCTCAAAATCAAACGAACAGTCACAGGGCAATGCAAAAGCCAGGCAAAGGGAAAAGTAGAAGAACCAAGGGCAAGGCCACCACCACCTCAAGCAGCTCATTGCAAAAATGCTAGACTTGGAGGTAATTGTTGGAGAAGCGAGGCATAAAATGAAATCTAACAAATGTTCAATGTTCACCTTAAACAAGCAAGATATTCTTTACCAGAAGTAGAAGTAAAAAGGGTGGAGGGGACAGGACAGAACAGGAAAGAAATAATTGTAGCATTTCACATCTTTCTTTTGGCAGGAAAAAAAAACAACACAAAAAAGAACAATCATTAATCTTAAGCAAAGGCTTCGCAGCATGCGGAAACATCTGAATAACGCAAAACTGTTCCTTACAGTTAACTCACCTGGGGGAAAAAAGCTTTGGAAGTCCATGAAAATACGTCCAAATCCCTGACTCCTTGGCTAGCATTAAAGACATTCTGAGCGACAAAGTTTAAGAAAGAGAGATCAACAGAGAAAGGGAACAGAGTACCATCTGCAGAAGCTGCACAGTAGCACACTTTTTGCTGTGTTCTAGCGCCAACCGGAGGCATTAGGTTACTACAGGGAAACTGAAGCCACCTGAGGAAGCCAGGAACCAAGGAAATTTGGACACATCAAAATTTTTGTCAAAAGCTCTTCATGGATATAGTGTGTCATGCCATTTGCTAAAATTAAGAGCCAGACATCGGTATAAAAAGCTTAAAAGAGTCAATGCAAGAAGGAAATCTTCCAGTTCTTTTAAGTGAAGAGGCATCAGTTGTAACACAAGCCCGATTTGTTTTATGACAGAAAGCAGTCTGCTGTTTTACAGAGAAAATAATGAAAAATATAACCTCTATAAATAATGCAATAATTACTATGACTAATAATGGCATGTAGTACATGTGAACTATTTATCAAATTTTAAGATACAAAAATGTTTTTGAACACACACACACGCGCACACACACAAACTTTAAGTCATTTTTCAGTTTTTCTCCCCTACCAAAAATGAGAAAAGAAAAATTAGTTTGAAATGTTACTGGGTGTTTTTTAGCAATTTTGTTAAGTGAAACATACAATTCCCATCCCCACCCCCTGCCACCACTAAATCATAGCACAGTCTTGTTTTGTCCGTCTCAACGTTTAGGCATGTACGGAGCATTTAAGATCCCTATGTTAGAATCTAAAAATATCTTGGTAACAAACCAGTTCATAGCAGTGTGACACCAGAAACATTAGTGTATTCATAAATGTCTCCATGAAAGTTTAAGTGATATCTTAATATACATACATTATGCCACTAATTTATCTGATCCAAAATGAACAACTTCCTAGTGAGTTGCAATTGTGCAATTTCACTACTTCTATAAAGACTGTGGCTCATTTTCTTTTGGACAAAACAGCGCACACTCAAAATGTCATATTTTATATTCTCAACCGAGACTTCAAGAAACATCACAATTCCCAGTCTATTGGTATGCCATTTTAGGCGATTAGAATTTATTTCTCAAATTCTAATGGTTTCCTAATGCATATGTTTGTATACATGTAGATACAAGTACACAGATATGCATACATACATGCTAACGCTGAGAAAGAACGTGTATAATGACCTTGACAAAGTTAAGTTCTCATAATATGTCTGCAAGTAACTGTGCAGCAAAATAAAACCCCTAAACCCCACATTTGAAAATAGGTAATGGATAGGTAAGGTGAAAACATGTGGCAAAACATTTCGTAAAACTATTTTGGGCTGTAAGTTGTCTTTACTGGCTAACTCATGTACATAGTGATTTGTGGATTATGTACTAAATGTTTATTCCCCTCTTTCACAGAAACAGTAGTGCAGACCTTTTGACATAAAACAATATCAGACAATTTTCAGCGTTTGGATTTTTAGCATAGATTATTATTCGTGTTAAATGCAACATGAAAAGCAATGCAGATGAAGTTAGCGATGAAGAAGCAATGTGGTGACTGGCAATTATTAAAGCTTGTACCTCTCTTTTAGTTCAATATGTAAACTTAAGCATGTGTACAATATACAAAGATACTTGAGGAGATGCAGCTGCCGCACAAGGTAATGAACTGCCAAGAAGCTCAACTTTGCAAAATATGTTAATTACACATGGATTCCAATTTGTCACTTCCCACTTTTGTAGAAAGTCCACACTGGTTTACTATACAAAGATTTTTTTTTTTTTAGATGTGATGCCCTAATAAGATGGAATTTTATTTAGTTTTATTAAGCATCATTTTTTTTATATCAAGTACCAAAAGCTCACCAAATAGTTAGAACTTAAAAATAAGAGATACTCTGTAATTTTCTTTGGTAAATTTTAGAAAGCTGCAGCCTGAATATACGGACATGCAA